AATAAATAAAAGAGAAAGGGAGCTGGGTTGAGTCTCCAGGCTCAACCCCCAGTTCCAAAAATATATAAAGAGATGCTCAACATTATTGCATTTCTCCTCAGAAGAGAAGTGCACTCCTATGAAAAGTGGGCAAAGTGCCTATGAACCATGCTCCTGAGACAACATTGTTCCAAACCTGCCCATTTTTGCCAGTCTGAGAGGCCACTCTGAGTCTCATTTCAAGGACGGGGCACTTGCGTCCTCGCTGGCCTCTGTCTATGAGTGGCCTTGGCGCATCCTTCACACGCTTGGCCGCGGCTCGAGGTCTGGGCTCTGCCTAGCACTGTGCACACAGGCGCACTAGGAACTGGGGCTTTCTTTCTTATTTCTTTGTGTCAACACTAGGGACTGGACCAGGGCCTTGGCTCAGGCTGGCCTCATGCTTTAGCCATCTGAGTAGCTGGCACTGTTGTAGGCAGCTGAGTTAGATAGAAATATTATAGGCAGTCAGACAGGGCCAGGCTCTTGAAGGAGATACCACAGAAGACAAGATATCTTGCAACTCTGGGAGGGATGGATGCTCCCACCATGGGCCAGACCTAAAGAGCAAAGATCAAACAAATGCCGCCCTCCCTAAAGATTGGCATCCAAGATTGATCATCACCCTGAGGGAGCCAGAGGAATCATTAATCCGACTACTGCTGGATAGCTACCTCATAAAATCCTGTTCTACATTCATGCCCGCTTGCTAGGTGACTCACTTCCCCATTTGGTCCTGGACTTAATCAATTTTACCTGAGCAATGGAGCTTGTAATCCAATTGGGTGACCATAGTTTTGTCCCACCCCACATCCACTTCAGCAAGTTCCCATGTTCTCTTAGACCCATCTCACAGCATGGTTTTACTCTATAAAAGTCCCTGGAAGAGACAGCTTCCTGGGGAACAACCTGCTCGGGCCCCCCTCCTGTCCCTCTCTGGGACAGGAGCTTTCTTTCTCTCAATAAATATATTCTGCTCATAATCTCTGTTTGTTCCTAAAATTCATTCTTCAGTTTTAGAGAACATGAACTCGTGCAGGTCAGGTCGGGAGATCATTTTTCCTATGTCATTTGGAGGTTCCCTGTAGCATTTGGAGGTCACCCACCCGAGATCAGTTTTTCTCTCTGTATCAGTATGACAGCTGTGTGCGCCTGTCAACCCAGCAGGAACTGTTAACGACAGCGCTGCCTCTGGGATGGCTAGCGCCGTGGCAAGGTGGGCTGTCCTTCTCTGGTGTTTGAGATTTTAAAAAGCATGTACAGTGGTACTTTCATTTAAGAAAAACTATTTCATTTTGAGCCATTAAGACAAAAATAAATCACATATTAAAAGTAATGGCAAGGGCCTGTGAGGTGGTTCCGTGGTTTAAGGATCTATCCGTGATGAGTGTGTTTGCATTTTAAGTAAAAGGGAGAGATGGAGAGGAGGAGGAAGAAAGAGAAAAAAAAGGAAGAGGGAGGGGGAGAAGGGAGGAGTGGAGTGGTCACCTCAAGGCAGATGATCAGTGGCCTCCCAGCCCTGCTGTGTGCCCCAGGGATTAGGGACCAGCAGAGCAGTGCAGGTGCCAGGGGGCTGAGAACAGAGCCCTCGCGTCCTCCTGCCCTGCTGTCCTCCCATCCTGCCCTGCATTTCATAACTCACCAACAGGAAGCTCTGGGCAGGAACCTAGCACAGAGAAGCACATCAAATTGCAGACCTGAGCCAGGCTCCAGCGTACGAAGAGGCGTCCACACCCCGCAGACCTCGGAGCCTTCGCCCCACCCCACCTCCTCAGCGCCCCCTGTGGGCTCCGCCGAGGGCAGCGGGCCTGAGCCAGAGCGCCAGAGGGATGCGGTAGGCACTTGCCAGGGTCTTCCGCACAGACCTGAGGCCACTTTTCTCTCCTCCGGGACTCCTGCCTTTGCGCCTCAGCCTCAGTGCTGAGATCTTCCCGCAGGCAAACATTTTTCTTTCTTTCTTTTTTTGCGTTACTGTTTCCCTTTCCCTGTCCATATCTTTGTAAAGCACCCCTCATCCCACCCCCACACCTTTCTTGGATGGCAGTGGGGACTAAGCCTTGGGCCTTAACACTGAGCTACATCCCCAGCCCATGTTATTTATTTATTTAAAAAGTTTTTGTGACAGAATCTCTCTAAATCAGTTTAAGTTGCATGGGCTGGCCTGGAATTGTGATCCCCGGCCTCAGCCTCCCGGAGTGCTGGGATTGCAGGCACATGGCCACGTGCCCACCAGCTTGCAAAGTGTCCTGCATGGTCCTAACAGCTCAGTCCCCAAAGGCTGATCCCCATCCCTCCACAGGGCTGAAGCATCTGTCACTCTGCTAGCCTGGGAGTCCTCAGGGTAGGGACCTGGTGGCACTGTGGTAGGTGGAAGAAATAAAAGATAGGGAGAAAAGAGACCAGGAAATCAACATTTAAATGTTGCACTGTACTTGTAAGAAAAACTATAGCTTCAGCCCACAAAAGCTCTTTGCAAGCCCTTTTCTTTTCCAGGAAGCTCACTTAAAAATTTCCTAAATATCTCAGAGACACAGCAGGTCTGTAAACAAGGCTCTGGACCTGTCCTTTTCACCTGTAGATGGCTCTTCCTCAGTCCTCATGGAGGAAGAAGTAACCTCAGTGGGCAGCAGCGCTCAATTTGAAGCACAGGAAGACAGCTTGCACTCTGACAGGGCCTTTCAGACAGGTATCCTGACAGGCAGTAGGAAAACACATCCTAGGTCACCCATCTTGAAGACACCCCTAGGACCCCAAATTTATACTCAGCTCGAGCTCATGGCATGCCTCGCTCTCTTGAGAGCCCAAACTCTGTTTCTTTTTTCTTTTTTTTAAACATTTTTATTTAGAAATTACCAGAATCTTTTTTTTTTTAAACATATATGTGTGTGTGTGTGTGTGTGTGTGTGTGTGTGTGGCCAGCTCAGCCCACCAGGGGGCAGGGCTGGCTGGCATGTGGTGCTGGGGGATCGAACCGTGGTCCCTGTGCTTTGTGAAGTTTGTTCCAAGTAGGTGCTTTAGACCACTGAGCCATCTCACCAGCCCCCAAACTCTGTTTCTTAAGCGTGGACTATAATCTCTGCCTAATCAAGGCTTCTCATGCCTCTTACTGATGAGTCCTGAAAGTTCTTTTTCCACAGGGGGAGTTAGGGAACCCCCAATCTCCTGCATTTAGGGTAGGTGAAGTGCTTCCTCTCAGCTTCAGATACTCCTCAGACCCAGTCCCATGGCAGTGCCAACACAGGTCTGGCACAGTGCTGAGCCCTCCTGGCTTCTCAAAGGAATGAATAAGGAATGAGTGGATGAGTAGGAGAAGGAAGGTGTTAGGAGCACCTGTTACGCCCACAACTGCAGGACCCCCTCTAGATCCGAACCTGTCACGCTTCATGTGCCTACCACCTTTCAGGGCCTTGAAGTCCCAACCTATGAGAAATGGCGCTTGTGAAAGCTCCAAGGCCCCTAGGACACCATCAGTAATTCAGTTAATCAACCCAGCCAGGGCTGCTGACAGCCTGTACCAGGACCTTCCAGCCACTTGGACAGTGCCTCTCCTTTTCATTGTTTTGAGCCAGAGACTAAACTTCACCCATTACCAAGTGACCCAGCATTTACAGAGAGGCCTTTGAAGCCCAAAGAAGTTGATCCCAGTGGCCGCTGTCACACGGCTAGGTATAGGACAGACACCCAGGGAGACCGACAGGCAGGCTACTCGCTGAAGCTAGGTAAGCCAGAGGATCCCACAAGGAGCTCAGATGTGAATGAACACCAGGGAGGGCACTGCGGAGTGCCCTCCACGGAGCCCTGAGAAAGGCCAGAGGATCAGGGGTAGTGGGCAGCTGTCCTGGCAGAGAGGGCAGCAAAGGCAGGGCAGGCCTTCAGCTGCCTCTGGAGACTGTGTCCAGGAAGGCAGAAGGCAGGAGGCCCTGCAGCCTGTCCCATGTCCTTGAGGACAGGGGTGTCTCGGGGAGACAGGGGTGGATGTATAGGTGGAGTGGTGCAAGCTCTGTCTAGCCTCAGCTTCTGGGCCACAGAGTAGCTCATCTGAGGCCCACCAAGGTCATGGGGCCAGGCCTGTCAAGCAGTCATAGCTCAAATGAGGGGCATCTCCTCCACCTTCCCATGCACAGGGCACTGTGGGGAAATCAAGGCCCTGAGACACACACTGACCAGGTTCATCAGGACGACAGGACTGGGCTAGGGCGACAAGATTGGAGAAAGGGTGGAGGTGGTCATGGCGGGTTCCTGAGAGTACACACACTAGCTTCCTCCAGCTCCTCATCCTCCCGCCTTGACCCTGCCTGCCCCTGGGTCTCTGTCTACCTTGCCCTGGGGCTCTCTGCAGCACAGGGTCTCTCAGGCTTGGTAGGAGGGGCCCAGGAGTCAGCACTTACTTGTGGCCAGGAGTAGCAGGAGCAGGGACCGAAGGCCCTTGGCTGTCTCCATCTGTGGCAGACCCCTGTGGTTGTCAAGTCCTCCAGTCCCAGGCTCTGTCCAGCTGCCTGTCCTCCCCCTGCTCGCCCCACACCTCTTCCTGTGGCTTCTTCCTGCTCAGTGGTGCCATCGGTTGTGTTGTGAAAGGCAGTGTGGGGAACTGGGCGGTGTTCTGAGCCTTACTGGGCCCCCCACCCCTGCAGAGGGAACCTGGATGAGCCCCAGGGACCCTCCCACAGCCATTTCCTCTCCTGAGTAGGGGGCCTCTCTGACCTTCATATTTTTCTCCATAGACTAGTGACAGTGACAGGCTGTCTCCTGGAACTGTATGGGGATAGGATGACCTCTAATGAGCCACGCACAATCTGGTTATGAGGATGCGACAAAGGATTCAAATGGTACCTGGTTTGTATACAGTTGGCCTCAAGCCTATACCTGCTGGGACCAAACAGAGAGGAGCTGGTCTCCCCTTGCAGACTGGATAACAGGAAGGGCAGAGAGGCAGGATGGAGGGTCAGGAGTCTGGCCCTGGCGGATGATCAGGATGAGATGATGTCTGTTTTGGTCATTTCCTGACTGATGATCCTGTGTAAGCTCTTACCTAGCATGAGAAGGACATGAGGTGATGTCTGAGGTGGTGGGTGTTATCACTATCATTTGATGGTGATTGGTATTGTGACATTACCCAGTTGGTCACTGCTAGCCCTTCAGGCAGGAAATGGGTACAGCAGATACTCAGGAGCTTCATCAGGAGGGAGGGTCGCCACCGTCAACTTGGGCTCCAGCTCAGCAGTCCCCAAAGAAGCCTGCATGTGGCCAGGACCTTGCTGTGTCCCAGGGGTACTAAGACATTGGGAAGCTAAGGGCATCTCACTGAGGAGTGTAGTGTCGCTAACATCCCCCTCAGACCTACAGGCTGAGCCAGTTGCTCCAGCTCAGGGCCTGGCCAGGGAGTCACCAGCTCCCCACTGACCTCTATTTCCCCTTCTTCCCATGTGGTCTCCTGCTGGGCCCCAGGGTCCTGGGGAGGAGTGGAAAAGGAACGGTAGAGTCACTCATGGGCTGTGGGAAGCGGGTAAGGATCTGGTTGGGCAGCAGGTCAGAACTCAGAGGCTCAGAACATCCAGCCCACCCAGAAGACCAGTACCAGGGACCCAGAGCATCCGGCCTCCCACTAGGACCCCAGCAGCAGGGAAGGTGACGAGATGCTCAGGCAGCACCAGGAGAGCCACCTTGCACACAGCCCTTCCCTGAAGGACTCAAGCCCTCAAAGATGATCTCTTTGGCCACAGAATGTTTTGGGTTTGCCAACACTTTCAAATCAATGGATTTTGACACCATCATCTGGAATTGAACTCAGGACACTGCGCTTGCCAGGCAAGCACTTATTCTAGTAAGCTATCTCCCTGGGCCCTGACATCATCATCATGTTGCTCTAAAAAGCAGGCAGCCTGGCTGCGTGGAGCTTCCACCAGCCATGCTTCACTACAAACCCCACTCCTTGTCACCGCAAACTGACACCCACACCACTTCACCCTCCCTCCTCCTCTCCAGGGCACAGGCTAAAAGGTTCCTAGCAGCTTCCTCTCCCACCCACAGGCCTGCTTTTCTGTCCTGTTTCCTGATTGGCCCACAAGCATCTGGGTCAGCGAGGCTTCCCAAGGAAAAGCTTGGAAAAAATGGTCCAAAATGTTGGCGCAGGTTTCTTAGACAATAACAAGAGCTGACTTTTATTTTTCTTCTTGACAATCTTCTACAGTTTCCAAATTCTCTACAACAGACAGGTACTTATTTTTCATATCAAAAGACAAATGTGTAAGCACTAAAAAACACATCCTCCCCATTTTTATGGCTGAGGTCAAGATCCAATGCTGCCTCCTGCCAAGGTCTCCCTGGATTCCCAGCTAGGAATGGCGGTACCCCAAGCCATGCCTGGAGCTCACATATCAGGCTGAGAGTTTGCAAGAGGAATGTCCAGATCTGGTCATCGGTGGCCCTGTCACCTAGTACAGGCTGGTGATTGTCCAGTGTGTGTCACTTGGGCAGAGTTCACCATGATGGGCAGTGAGCGTGTCTAGGGCCATGTGCAAGTCCAGACCAGCACCACCAGGACGCCTCAGCCTTCCAATGTTGGGAGGAAAACAAGACTAGACTGCTCTATCCCATAATTCTGGCCACAGGAAGGCTTCAGAAGAGGCATGGCCCCTCTAAGGTGTAAATCAGAGCGAGGCAGCTCAGAGAGGGGCCCTAATAAAGAGACCTGGCTCAACCCAGGTGTGTATGCTAACAAAAGTTTACAGCAGGCACCAGGCAGCTCTTGGGAACCACTGCCCAAAATTGGGGACCTGGGTGTTGAGGGAAGACTAAGGAGGGCACAGGGGAGGAAGGAGGAGAGGGAAAGGGGGAAAGCCTGGGAGCTGGTGGGCAGAGTGCCCGGGCACAGAGTCAGTGAGTGCTGTTGAGCTCTGATCTGCCCTGGGTGTGCTCTAGGTGTCCCCTGTGCAGGACTGCAGGGTCCTCCATGGTGGCCACCAAGCACAGAGAAGCTATGGCCATATTCTTGTCCTCGGAAGGGCCACAGAGATAAGAATGTGCCTGATCTCCACTGCCCCAGGCCTGACCCTGAGGCTTGCAGGTCCCAACAACCACCAGCAAGGGAGGATGGGAAAGGCAAGGCTTTGGCGCCAGTTGGGATGGCCATGGGGACAGGACAGTCCCTCAGCCAAAGTGATGGTGCATGGCTGAGCACTTTGGGGCCCAGACCTGGGAGCCGAGTGGTCCCAAAGATCAGGTCTAGTCACCAGGGCTGCAGCCCATCTCTCCAGGGTCCAGGGCCTTCTCAAGTTAGGGCCAGGCCAGGGGCTGCAGTCAGTGCCACATCCTCACGTGGGGCAGCTGAGCTGGTGGCCTAGATGCGGCTGGATGAGGTGCTGCCTGAGTTGATAGGGAGCCTGGCGCTGTCTGAGTTGCTCTTCAGAGAGGATGGGCCGCCCCGGGCCTGCAGCCGCATGGACCAGTACCAGAGGAAGATGAGGAAGCCTGCAGGAGATGGTGGGGTGCACAGGGCTCAGAGGGTGTAGGGTGACCTGCCACCCCGCATGCCTCTTCCAGAGCCACCTGACTCAGATCTATGCTGGCCCCCACCCTCAGCCTTTTCCCACACAAGCCACCGAAGGCTCTCGGCGCTGCACAAAGTCCCTGGTCCTCGCCTCTGTTTCCTCTACCACCTCCTACTCCATCTACTCCTGCTTGTTATGATTCTGTTTCACAGATGAGGAAGCTGAGGCCTGGAGACCCAGAAAGGGGACTTGGCTGAACTGGGGTGGGAGCAAGCTCAGGCCCTGGAGCCCACCCCCACGCAGTATGCTTGTACTGGAGTTGGGGCTCTGTGCATCTCAGTGGCTGTGTGCACTTCATGTAACTCTCAGGGGCACCTTCCTCTCACAGGGGAGAAAAGGAGCGCTGAAGAATGAAAGCACTGAGGGTAGAGGAGCACAGGGTGGGCTCTATGGGCGTCCAGCCAGGAGCCCGCGATCCTGCCATCTGTCCCTGCCCCTCTTTGGATGCCAGTCAGTCACACTCTTCCTCTTCATAGCTCTCCCAGCACACAGCCTCGTCCAACCCCAGGACCTTGGCTTTGCCTCTGCTCTCCGCCTGCCCCGCCCCCAGGCCTCCTCAGCTGTGACGTGCACACCCATGCCCTGGGCTGAAATGCAGATCTAGTCACCAGGTCTGGTGGGGGCCACACCCATACTCCCCACAAGCCCCAGCAGTGGATTGGGTCTGCAGACCTATTCACACTCGGCTTAATGCAGCTCTGGTTCCCTCTGCAGCAGGCTCTGCCTGTTGTCCTCAACTGTCTGCTACACAGAGTGGGCCTAGGCCACCATCCCTAAAGCATTCCCACCCCACTCAGGGGCTGCCCACAGTGCAGCTCTCTGACTGCCCCTCTCTCCAAGGCACCCTTGATGGCCTTGTGCTTGGTGGCTCAGGCTCAGCCTTCCTGACGAGGGCTGAGCCTGGAAGCCAGGCCCTCACCCAGCTGTAGCCCAAGGACTTAGCACAGCGTCTGCACAGGACACACAGTTGAGGCCCAGATGGGGAGTCTCAGGTGTGCTGGGCCCTCTCCTCCAGCCCCCGGTTCCATGCAGACCAGCTGCCAGGCCAGGGGCCTTCTTCATGCCTACCTTGGAAGGAAGTGATGATGCTGAAGAGGTAGAGGATGACAAGCCGGAAGGTACCAGAGGCAAAGGAGAAGAAGACCAAGGCCCAGGGCAGGCCAAGGACCAGGCTGAGGCCCAGCAGTGTCAGCACATGTGGCCACTTCTGGTTGTGCGGGCGTAGCCGCAGGATCTGCACCACCATGGTGCCCAGCATGGCCAGGTTGAACAGAAAGACCAGGCTGAAGAGGCCGAGGTTGGTGACATAGCTGACCAAGGAGTCCCGGATCCAGCACCTGTGGGCCAGGGCACCAGGGCTCAGACATGGCCGGGCTGGAGCCACAAGTCTACTGCGGTTACCACACGTTGCCATGGTTATTCACTGTCATGCCAAGTACTTCCTGTTTCCTTTGCTCGCTCTCTCTCTCTCTCTCTCTCTCTCTCTCTCTCTCTCTCTCCCCCCCTTTCTCTCTCAGCACTAGAGACTGAACCCAGAGACCCACACTGAACTATATCCTTGTTCCTTTTTAAAAATGCTTTGAGACAGTTCTTGCTAAGATTCAAAGTTACTTAAACTGGACTTGAACCCCATCTCAGCCTCCCAGAGTTCTGGGATTACAGACATGTGCTGCCACTCTATTTATGGAGTTGGTTTAATTTTTTTTAAAGCACATGTAACCTAATAAGTCAGATGATTTAAAGAAAAACATTAAATAAATAACACTAGAGATATGAGGGGAGACAAAAATACAGGCTCATGAATTAAACAGCTGGAAATTTGAAGACCTCGGAACCGGTGGAGCCTGCTTCCTCCCTGCTGGAGTCCAGGAAGCCTGGCTGCCAGGACTGCAGACAGGGTCAGCACCAACCAGGGTAAAGGAGGGGCACAGACAAGGGCTGGCTTTCAGCCCCATCATCGCCCTGCTGGGGGCTTTCCAGCAGCCCCTTGTGACCCAGAGTGTGTCCCCAGCCTTGGGGCCTCACTCTTTCCACCTGTGTAGGAAGGCAGGCAGCTTAGGCACAAGCAGGAGCCCCAGGTGCCCCCAAGGCCCCACCAATGAGGAAACTTGCTCATAGAGGGAACAGGACCTACGCATGGCCCTGATACAGGAGTGGCTGATCCAAGCCTTTCATCAGCCCAGGGTTCTAGCCTCCTCTAGGCTGATCCCTATAGCAAACAGGACCCAGGAGACTCTGTGCCCTCAGCCCAAACTCCACCCCTTCCCCAGCCCTCCACTCACATAGATGGGTAAATGACGCTCTCTGGAGTCCTGTGCACGGCCAGGATGATGGGCCCATAGTTGTTCACATCCACCAGGGCCACCAGCATCACCAGGAAAGCAGGGAAGCCTGGGGGCAGCAGAGGGCTGAGTTCATCACTACTGTCCCCGTGAGGCCACTGGCTGCCCTCCAGAGGTCTAGGGCGAGACCCCCTTCTTAGCCTGCATCCCCATCTGCCTGAGAAGTCTCCCAAAAGTGGGCCCTGGCCTTGCCTGGTCCAGCTGAGGTTTCCCATGGGGTTGGGCAGGGTCTGCTCTAAACTTCCTGGGCGCCAGGAGAAAAAGCCTGCAGTTCCCTGCACAGGGAATGGAAGTCACAGGAGATATGGGAAAAGGCGAGGACATGGAGGGGTTGCAGCTCAGGGGACAGCAGGAGTTTGGGTCCAAGAGCATGTCTGTCCATCCACAGGTGAACAGAATGTTCCCTGGGGTCCCAGCTCCTCATTCCTGGGGCTGACATATGACCAACTCAAGGAATTTTGTGCAGCAAGAGTGGGCAATGAAGGGGGGGGGGTCATGAGAGACACAGGGACTGGGAACGCGTGGAGATTAGGTGTGTGCAGTGTCCAACATGGTGCACGACATGAGATCATGAGATTGGGATGCAACGTGATGGCTTAGGTCATAGAGGAAGTGTGCTTGACCAAGAACAAAGTGACGAAGGGCATCCCCAGGCAGGACCACCCCATGGGAATCAGGTAAGTGGGCCAGAACCTGACTGTACCACACACCTCCAACCCCATGTCCTTGAGGAGCACAGCCTGTGTGTGTGCACACAGAGGCTCTGCCCACAGATCCCCCTTTAGCCCAGTGAACACTGTGGAGAATTTGCAAGAGTTTCCTCGGGACAGGGCTTGCCACTTTATCTTCCTAAAGGGGACCTTGGGCCAGGAGAAAGACCCCAGAGAACAGGTGGGGGAAGGAAGCCATGAGGGAATTCGGAACCTAGGAGAAGGAGAAGTGGAGCCAGCTGCCTGCGTTCAGCCAGAAACAAATGGCAGAGGCGGTTCTGCAGGCCCCTCACCCACGCTCACTCACCCCAGCCCACGGCGCTCAGCTTGAGCACGTAGCCAGGGACGTAGGTGCCGAAGACCTCCACCACGAGGCGATAGAGGTTGTAGCCCTCGAGGCCCATCCAGGAGAGGCAGGCGAGCAGGGAGAAGTGCAGGAAGACAGCGCTGGCACAGCAGGCCGCCCTGGAGCCTGTCAGGGCCACGGGCTCACTGAGCAGGAAGCTCACATCCAGCATGAAGACGGCCAGAAGCAAGTTCATGTGCACCTTGATGGTGTAGTCTCGGGGCTTCCTCCTGCAGGCATGAGCACGGGAAGGTGGGCAGTGACACGTGTCTGTGCATGTGCACTTGCACGTGTGAGTGCACACACCACACACACACACACGTGCACCCGTGCACGCACATGCCCTCCCCTTCATCTCCTGCAGCCAGGCCATGCTCATTTATCCCTGGAACCTACAATATGCCCAGTCCCCCAGACAAAGGAAACAAACACACACATGTTCTTTGCAGTAGTAGGAATTAAACTCAAGGCCTCTGCATTGAGCTACATTCTAGCCCTTTAAATTTTTTTATGTAGGTTCCCACTAAGTTGTTGAGCTGCTAAGGCTGGGCTCAAGCTCCCTGTCTGCCTACCTTGGCCTCCTAGAGTGGGGAGGTTACAGGGTGCAGGCTCCCCCCCCCATAGTCAGCAGAGGAGGAAGTCAGGGCCGCTGGGATGACAGGCCAGGCTTGTATCTTGGCGGGTTGGGAGACCCACGCCCACCTCTCTGGCTGTGTGTCAGGGAACATGAGGGGGCGTCTGTCCCCCAGGGTTGCAGGGCACTGTGTGCTCAGCCCCTTGTGGGATGCTAAGTGGCCCAGCCCTGCTGTTCTGGATGCTGCCTCCTGCCCCTACCCTGTGGCGCCCCCTTGAGCTCAGGTGCTCTACCTACTCTTCTGTGATGGAAGCAGGGTTCCCTCCTAGAGTCTGGTAAGGGTGTGTGCACAGAGGAGACTTCAGCTCCTAATGGCTTCTGCCTGTGTCCTTGGCCATGTTATGCTTCTGCTTTCCCCTCCTGACCAAGGACAGCGAGGACACCCTGGACTCTCCCAGAACCAAGGATGTCTCCTCACTACCCAAACAGGCCGAGGGCCTGACTGCGAGCAGACCCAAATCCAGGCCACACAAAGCACCGGCAGTCTGACAAGCTTGCCCCCTCGCTTGCTGTGTGAACTCGGGCAAGCCAGTTACCCTCTCTGAGCCCTCTCACAAAGGCCAATTGTGGGGCTGGACCAAAGTGACACTTGGTAAGCGTGCAGAAAGCTCGGCACACGTGCTTATTGCCACTGCTTCTGTCGTGCCACACTGTGTGCACACTACAGCCTCACAGCTGATGACCCAAGGGTCGGCATACAGACTCTTACGTGACCTCTCCCAGAAGTGTAAATGAGATGCTAGCTCAAATCCACAGGTATGTGGGTCAAATGTGGCGCCCTGGGGCCAGGAGCAGTACCCTGGCTTCCCCAAGCACCCCCTCATCGTGGGGTCCAACAGGAGCACCAATCCCAGGAAGCTCTCACCACGCCCTGCTCCCCCCGCCCCACCCTACCTAGAGCAGAGGTAGGCTGCGATGGTAAAGATGCAGGCCAGTGCAGAGATGACGCAGCCCACGTAGGACAGCAGGGTGAGGTAGTGCTTGTGCGAGGCATCCACCTCCACAGAGGAGACCTGCGGGACAGGGGGTGGCCTCAGTGCCAGCTCCACACTGACAGCCACCTTGGGAGAGTTGGGCACAGGAAGTACCCCCTGCTCAGCAGACCAGGGTGCTGGTACAGGTCTCTAGAGATGTGGACGGCTTCCCCACATCCTCAGGGCATTTGTGGCTCATGAACGCTGGAGCCCTCCGCACACGGCCCTGGTTCTGGCCCAGCGTGGAAGACAGGTGATGGCTCTGGGCTAATGGCATTCACTGAGGCTTTGCTCAGCTTTATAAGGGTACAAGAGCAGGGTGGCAGCAGGGAGCTACAGGCTGTATATCTCAGGGGGGCCCCAGAGCCACCACCCAGCACCACGCTCATCAGCAGTTTAGGTGGCTCAGAGGCATTTTCACCTTGCCATGCCCGCACTGCAAGTTGAGCAGTAGCTGAATGTTTCCATGATGTTCCGAATGCATTTCCCAGAGGGAGTGCTCATCCCAAGCCCAAGGGACTCTGGGACAGGGACTTGGAACAAGAAGCCCCTTAAGATCTTGAGAGCCCTGGAGCCCACATTTTGATCTCTATGTTAGCCCTCAGCTCTGTCAGGGCTCCTTAGAAACAGTACTGACCCCAGCCCTGCAGATTAGGAACAGGAATCCGCACTTTCATCTCATGCCAAAATCTACACAAAGCAAGGGCTGCACAGAGCAGCTGTTTTGTTCACAAGTGGTATGACTTTGAGTAAAATGCTGAGCCTCTCAGAGCTTTGGTATGTCCTCATCTATACAATGGGACAGCACACACCCCTCCGAGGGGCAGGTGGCCAGTACAGGACAAAAGCTTGACCATCAGTGTGGCTGCAGGCAGGGTCACCTACCATCAGCACTGCGAAGTAGGTTAGGTGGTCACACAGGCAGGCTGTCTGGGTCTCTCCCCGGCGGGTCTCACACCCATCGCTGCTCCAGCTGCCCGGGCTGCTCACTGGGGGGCCGGCGGGGGAGAGGCTCAGTCAGCCCCGGCCCAGGACCCCACTGTCCCCCTCCCCAGGGCAGGCTGGGCCGCTCTTCCCAGCCTTTTCCCTCCTGCGGATCCCGGCCTCTCCCTGGCATATTCCCATCTTCCCCACTCCAAGACCCCACATCTGCCCCAGATCCGTCCTGCCCTACAGGTCCCCACACTCACACGTGGGGCCTTCCACCCAGAACACACACTGCAGAGTCACGTTCTTCTGTGGAGACAAGAGAGGGGGCACGTGGGCCCCATGGCCTGCTCACCCATCCTGGGCCACAGAGGACACACAGGACAAGGAGAGGGAGCCACCCACCCTGTACTGAGCCTGCCGGCTGTCGGTCTCCACCCAGTGATGGACTGGCAACATGGGGAGTGCGGCAAGGACTCCCATCCCACGGGGACCCAGGTGCTCACTGGCTGCGGCTGGTGCTGGAAGGTGAGCACCACGGGCTCTGGGAGGTCAGCCACCCTGGTGTTCTGCACGACAATGCCCAGGACCTTCTCACCCAAGACTTGGCTGGAATTCTTGTCCTGGACATGCAGAGTGGGGAGAGGCTCAGGGAGGGGCTCAAGGCTGAGAAGCCTCTCCCTCAATGCCACTCTGGGAGCCCAGTCTCCCTCTGAGCCCATTCTTTCCCCATGAGTGTCACTCTGGCGGACTTGTATGAGCACAAAGCATACTTCTGCTGTTTCCCCCATACCTGGATTCCCCCAGAGTTTCACATGTTTGAGGGGTGAGTTCAGTGTGTATAATATATTTTTACTATATTTATGCCCCCTATTATGTGCCCTTACGTCCCCTCTTCCTCCTCCTTGGAATCAACTCGTGTGTGTGTATGTGTGTGTGTGTGTGTGTGTGTTCATTCACACTGTAATGAGAATAACACTGATAAGACTTCTCCCAGGAAGATCTGCACATTGCAGTCTGATTCTGACTTGACAAGGACCAGCTGTGACTCCCAGAGAAGGGAGGCCGACTAGTAGGTCTTTCTCAATTGCCCTGTCAGACAAAAAGTGAACCAGGGAGGGCAGGAAGGGGAGGACACAATGGGCACCCTTGTACCTGGAACAGGGCCTGGCTGCTGAAGTCCACCAGGAGCAGTCTCTTCTCGGCCTCCTCGCGCCGGCCTTTGGCCCGCTGGAAGAGCACACGGGGCAGCAGCACCGAGTACTCCAGCACCTCGCTCTGTTCCTCCTACAGGCCAAGGTCCTCTTAGGACTAGCTGACCACAGAGCCCCGGGTCCTCCCCAAAGCACACGGCCCATTCTAGATGTTGTTAACCCTCACGGGACCCTTGCTCCTCTCTCTTTTGCATTGGCCAGGGCTGGGCAGCCTTGTGGTGAGATCCTTAGGGTCAACAAAAGGCCTCTATCTAGCTGGGTCTCCCCAGAGTGCCCAGGGGCACTGGTCAGGGACTGACACCTCTGTCACCTGCCATGCTGAGCCCAGAACGTATTCTCAGTGCCAGGGGTGATGCAGGTACTGGCTGAAGGAGCTGGCCCTGGACTACCTTCCTGGGGTGCTGGGGACTGACTTGGGGGTCAGTGACTTCCCACCCAGCCCAGCCCAGCTGACCTCCTCCCGGGAGTGAATGTACAGGTCCTGGAGGCTGGCTGTGGGCTGCAGCTTCCACACTGTGGCGTTGACTCGCTCCTCCTCAAAGGACAAGGTGTCCCCCAGGAACTTCACTGAGGACAGCTTCGACTCCAGGCTCTGCAGCTGCCTGGTGGGGCGGACAGAGTGGTGGGTGATGGCAAGGAGACTGAGGCAGAGAGAAGGTGCCAGCCAGGTACACAGGGAAGAGGGAGGGGCCAAGAGAAGGAGGGGCCTGGGAGAGGAAAGGGACACAGAGGCAGCCACATGCCCGGACAGATGGCAGGGAGACCTGGAGCCAGAAGGCAGCTGTGTGGTCAGGCCTCAGAGCAAACAGGACAGGGGTGTGACAGGACGAGGTTGTGCTGTCCTGAGACTCAATACCCAGTTCTGGCCTGGCCTGCCCACCCTGACACCCTGTGGCCAAGGAACTGGCCTTTGCCATAGAGTTCTCCTTCACAGATCTACATAACGGACAGGTCACTTTTCTTTGCTGGCAGATAAGGCCTGGGTAACTGTCCAGCCAGCTGGTACTGGCCTTTGCGCATCTAGGAGGGCTTGGGGCTCAGCCTAGTGACCATGTGTCACCCCCTCCAGGAGATAGACAAGAAGCCCAGATGCCCCCAGCACCCCCTGAGGGCCCCTTCTCCCCAGGATCACACTCACTGGCTGGCAAGGGTGGTGGGTGACTTGCGTGAGGCCTTGTGTGGCAGCCTCAGCAGCTGGCTGAGCCGATGCAGGTCCTGCTTCAGCTCACACATGTCCACCGAGGCGTTGGGAGAGGCCTTCTGAGGGGGGTCTGTGGAGGAACAGAGGCTGGGGTGGGGGCACGCCAGTCACGAAGCCCTCTGTGCCTCTACCCCACTTTGCAGAAGAGGAAACTGAGGTTCCAGGACTTGGTGGGAACTCCCCAAGGCCACTCAGAGGTGAGGCCAGCCAAACAGGGGCTAGAGCCCAGCACGGCAACTTAGTGTGAGCCTATCTCAAAATAAAATAAAAGGCTGGGAACATAGACAACCCTCAGGGACTCTGAGACTGCACAGTCCAAGGGACAATAGCAGGGAAGTTGGCACAGCCTCTGCCACTTGCACAGGCCCCACACAGCAGAGGCCACACTACCCTGTCCCACCAGACAGAAGGTGTGGCCCCAGAGCTCAGCATCAGCCTCCAGCCTTCCAGGGATTTGAGCTGCTTGCCTTCCCCACCCTCATGTTGAACAGCCACTGGATATGAATCCAGACGCCTCCATCTGTCAGCTGTGACCCTGTGTCCCAGTTTCCTCCTTGGTGACATGGAGGTTGCTATGAATGTCTATGATTCTGATGCCTCAGCGCCTATTTCACATTCAGCTGGACTTCCCCACACCCAAGTCAGGGGAATCTCCTCGCCTCCGCAGGACTTCAGGGTGGTCACTGAGACCTGTGCCCCATCTCCCACGGAACACTAGACAGCCTACCTGTGGGAGTTCCACCGGCCCCAGGCTGCAGCCCACTCCTCAGCATCCCACACCTCCTGGAACCCGTGCCTGCTGCTTTTAGTCGGCCAACCAAAGCACCCCACAGGAAGTCCATCGGGCTCACGCCCTGGGCGCCAGTAAAAGATCGGCCCAGGGTCCTCTCCCACGAGGCTCCAGAGTCTGCATGTGCATGTGTGCACATGCACGTGCATATGTGTGGCCTCTGGATGTACACGCCCCCAAGCAATCCTATCTTTATTTCCAACCCACCCTGGGGGGCACTGTCCATCCCACAGACACTAAAGTACAGCACGGATTAGCACTGCATGCGGGCACTGGTAGAGGATCTCTCCCGTGTTGCACTTTTCTGTCCTCCCCACCCCTGCCCACTCTCTTCTTCTCTGGTGCCCCATGCACCTTCCTAAGCCCACCTTTCCCTCATTCCTCCTGTACTCTATGACACATTCCTGGGCTCCCACTGCCTGTGAGTGAAGCCCAGGCCTGTGGCCTGCAGTCCAGAGGTCATTTCCCAGCCTGCCTTGCACTCGCCTTCCCACCATCAGCCCTCTGCCCAGCAGCTGCCCTACCATGGAAGGAGAAGGTGAAGCCTGAGGCCACTGGCAGAGTGCTGTTCTTCGGACTCCACCAGGACCTGACAGAGGTGGCGAGCAGCGGGGGTCCCCGGGCCCTGCTCTCCTCCTGATGCCGGAAGCAAAGCAGGTCAGCGGCCTGGTTGCTCAGCTCGTACTTGTGCCTGCCATAGCGAAGGTGAAACTTCCCCATGTGACGGTCCCAATAGAGGCAGAAGTGGTAGAGGCCCCTTGGGTCTGGGAAGAGCCAGGATGATTCCATGGCTGCAGGGAAGGGGGCACGGATGGTGAGGACCTCCTCCGAGTTCCTGATGGCGATGTGCCGCTCTGGAGTCCACTCATAGTGGAGGCTGCTTTTCTGTGTCTGGTTCCGCTGGCCGCAGAAGCGGAAGTCTTCCCGGGGGCCACCGCCATGGGCACCTGGGGAGGCAGAGGTTGTAGGTGGGACCTCGAGGCAGGGACTGGCTGGGAGTTTGGGAGGAAACAAGCCCTGTGCAGAGGATGTGCATGCGTACATTCTACACTTCAAAGAAGGGGGCCTGCCCATTAGCTCAGGTGTTTAAGTGCCTGCTGAAACAAAGCAGTCAGGCTCAGGATGCTGTGGTTCGATCCCCCCTTCCTCAAACCAAACCAGACCTGCCCTGAAGGCATCCTGAGCGCCCCCCCCCCAAAAAAAATCCTTCTACATTTTAAAGGGCCTACAAAAATGTGACTCTGCCTCACTTAAAAATTTCTGGTTTCAGAGTATGAAAGAGAACATAAAAGTAAATAATGACTTGAAAGGCCACAAGAATTTAATAGCAGTGAAGTGTCTATGAGGACTATAGACTGCTGTATGTTCTATGCACTGCTCAACGATGTTTGCTGCAAAGATCAGTGCGGCCAAAATCCAGCCCCTGTTTCCCATTCTGAGCTGTGCTCTGTGGGGGCACCTGCCAGAGGAAGCCTCCAAGGCGCCACTGAGCAGCTGAGCAGCTCTGCGGACCCCTGCCTGCCCAAGGGGGTTTGCGTACACGCAGGCAGCTGCCCTAGGCACGGAGGCAGCAGGCATGAGTCCCGAAGCTGTCGCAGGGCCCCTGGGCAGCCTACCTTGAGCCAGGAAGAGGAGACTCAACAGGGACAGCGCTGTGTGCACTGGAACTTGGACAGCCATCGTCCCGCCCTGAAGCCAGTCTCAGAAGTCGCCACCTGAAAGAGACCACGCCGTTAGCTGGGAGCCTGGGCCACAGGGCAATGCAGCAGGTCCACGAGGTAGACTCAGGGTCGGCGAGATAGCTCAGTGGACTAAGCTCCTGCTTCAACAAGCGCAGAGGCTAGGGTTCAATCCCCGGCACCACATGTGGCCCGGGCCATGTCTTTGGCTGCGCTGAGTGGGCCGCTGAGACCAAACGTGGTGTGCACGCCTGTAATCCCAGAGCTGGGGAGGCTGAAAACGAGGATCATTACAAGTTCCGAGCTGTGTAATGAAATCCTGTACCAATAAGAAATGAGGACTCAGCGAGGTCACGGCGCCCTCTTCAGGCGCCAGAGGGGAAGGGCGCGTTTCCTGTCCTGACCACCAGGGGGAGCCGGCTGCCGGGACCAAGGCAGAGCAGAGATGGAAATTCTCTTAGAAAAGAAGTACTGGGACTATATTGTATTACTTTGATGAATTCACGCACCTACAATATTTGAATGGCAATGGAATACCCATCTCTGACAACACTAAACAAAAAAGGGGGATATAAGTGAAGGACCATTTTGTAGTGAAAAAGAATATATCTATATACAAAATAGCACAGATATACAACTACTTTCTCTTAATTTAATGAAAAGAAAGATTTGTACTAATAGTGTTTGGACAGGATATCATGTCTGCATCTTGTACTATGAATAACTACTACGAAGACAACAATATGCAATGTACTAATTATTGTAACTGTCCTACTAATCTGTTTTGAAACTGTCTCATTGCTATTTCTTTCTCAATAAAATTAATAATAATAAAAAAGAAAAGGACTTGCTGTGGCCGAAAGCAGGCAAGGGGCTCCAGCTCCACTCGCTACCCTGGCCGCCCAAGACTGCTGTTAGCTGAGCACCTACTACCTGGCAGCTTTCATGTTGACCTCCCTGCATACATTCCAGCCCTGGAAAGTGGACACAAGGTGGGTCCAGGGCACAGATGGGCAGCCTGAGGCCAGAGGGGTTAAATGACTTGCCCAAGAATTCTATACAGGCCAGGGACTTTTCCTGCCTGGGCAGGACTGCGGTGCTTGGTACCCATAGAGATGCTGGGTAGTTGTCCCTCCCCGCTGCCAGCTGGCCTGGTGAGCAAGCTGGGTGCTGATAGATCCAGCCTGCCGTGCTCATCCTGTGGGGGCTGTATCTGACTACAGGGATATATGCGATCATTCGTCACAACCTAATGAAAGGAACCCTGGTAACCTGGGCACTAGCAAGCAGCCTAAGTCTCGGAGGAGTGCTTCCCAGAAAAGGAATACAGGAAGATGGCATTTGAGAGCAGCATTCAGGGCAGAGGGGCCCAAGGCAGGGTCCTGTTATCGCTTTCCTGGAATGCGTCTCCCTCAAGCCAACCTGGCCTCTTTGAGCAAAAGCCAGTCCTCTAGGGCCCAGTGGGGGACACAACCCCAGTGTCTCCTCCTGTGGTCCCACCATCTTGCCTGGAGTGTCGTGGGCCACTGAGGAGGACAAAGGAGCATTGTAGGGAGTGGCTGCCTTCCTGGGCCCTGATTCTAAGGCTTCGCTCTGAGTCCTCGCTAAGCACTGGGATCCTTTTCAAACCGCCTCAGTGCCACAGAAGAAACTCAGAGCCCCCTTTCTTCTCCTTCCTGCTAGCTCCTGTTGCTGTCCTGTCCCGCACTCCTTGCCCCCAAGGCCATGTCACCTCTTCCGGACAGGCCCCTCATGAAACCACCGCTTTTCATTTATGAATCGGAAGTGCACAAATCACATTGAGGATTTGGTCCAAACTCTCCATTTTGCGATGTTGGAATCCGAGGCCCAGAAAGGACCAGTGGCTTCCTGGGGTCACACAACAAGCAGGTATAGAGCTGGCTGGAGCTCACGAGTCCCTCCGGCCACAGACCTTCAAAGCAAATGACTATGATGGACAACAAGGCCCTGGGACAGGACAGGATAGAACTGCATGCCTTGCAGCAGCCCCTCTGTGACTGGCCCCTGAGAGCAAAAGAAGCAGGGGCAGGAGTGAGCTCCCCATCACTGGAGGCATGCAAGCAAGGCTGCAACCCCATGGATGCCAGGGACTCAGACACAAACAGGGACTCGCTGCTCTGACCCTTCCTGGCTCACTCTGTTCACCTGGGCTACATGAGCAGCTACTCCAAAGAGGACAACACTATCCCCATCAGCATTCCTGAGGTTCAGTGAGGAAGGGCTTCCTGGCTTCAAATGCCAGCTCTCACATTTATTAGCTGTGTGTCCTTGGGCCAGTTATTCACTGTCTCTGGGCTTTGCTTTCCTGAACTATAAGAAGAAATTAAATCTTGGGAATTAAATTAATTGGTATCCATGGGGCAGCTAACAGCTCTCTGTCCTTTCTGACCAGCCATGCCCCTGGCCCAGCCCCAGGCCTGTCACTCACACCACCTCCATCTCCCCAGCTTCTGTGGCCCCATCCTCCCCAGGTGGCCCTCCTCAGCCTCCAAGGCCTCCAGGGGAAATTCCTGGAGCATGAGTCCTCCTTTCCGGTGCACAAAGGAGGGCTGGAGCCCCACCTAGAAACTTCCCTCCCTGCAGCCAGCCTGAACATCAGTGGAGCTCCGCAGGCTTCTCCTGGGGACAAGAGCTAAGCTGGGGACCAGGAAGGGAGCCAGCCTAGCCAGGAGAGAGCACTGTCCTTCCTGTGCTTATCACCTAGCCCAGGCAGGAAGAAGAGGCCTGCAGTCTAGAGATGGAACCCCAGCACCCACTGGGCTGAGGAACGCATGTCTGGCCTCTGTGAGGAAGGGCAGCATCAGCCAGCCTTGGCGCAGGAACCTCAGGACTAAGAGCCAGGTGACCGCACAGCCCTCCACCACCTCGTACCGCCCTGGCTGGAGCCCGGGTAGTCTGGGAGAGGAGGGGTCAGCAGCAACCCCCAGATGACTGCAGCAGCAGCAGCAGCAGCAGCAGCAGCAGCAGCAGCAGCAGCAGCAGCAGCAGCAGCAGCAGCAGCAGCAGCAGCAGCGACGTCCATATCATCACATTATGTGTTCAGGGTCAGCCCATCAGGCTGATCAGGCAGGTTCACCATTTCATAGAATCCTGAACTGAGGCTAGGGAGGGGCTCTCTGTCCCCAGGACCCCCAGAGCTGAGCCCTGAGACCTAGCCGCTGCAAGGATGGTGGTGTTGGTGAAGGTCTCAGAGATACACTCACCCTGCCCTGGGCTGTTGGGGGCTCCCAAAGAAGAACGGAGAAAAGTGAGGGGTGGTGAAGACCACAAGCAGCCCGACCAATTCTGGCCTGGAAGGAGGCTGTGCAGCTGAGCCTCCCCCTCACCATCCCCCGGGGTCCCCTTCCCGAGCAAGGGACCTTGACCTTCGGCCTTCCGTAAACACACAGAGAACAGAACAAGCTGATCCAGGCTGACACAATGGGAGCCACCATCCCTGGGTCCCCAAGGGTCCAGCAGGGTGGAGGGTGGCCAGGACCCTCCAGAGCCAAGACCCCATGGCCACCCGAGGCTGGCTGCCCAGGAGAAGGGGCTCCACCTCAGCCCTGCCTGGAATGGTGGGCAGGGGACTTGGGGCTCACTTTCTCCCCTGGGCCTGAGTCACTTCCTCTGCCATCCTGCGCAGAGCCACCAGTCAGCGCTGGCTCAGCCTGAGCTCCTGGAAAACTCATTTCCTTGGGAGATGGAGGTGGAAGTCAGGCTGACGGCATTTGCAAGCTGGGTTAACCCTTCCCAAGGCCAGCGCCTCTGCTGGGCCTTCCTTCCCCTGGCACTGCAATCCCAGGTCAGGCCTGCGTGGATGCAGGTCACCCCCGACCCCGTTCATGTGGTTCCTGTGCCAGGAAGGCCTTCTTTCCTGGAAGCATTCCACCTCAGCTCTAAGACACTAACTCTGTGAAGCTTCACCTCACTGCCATCCCACAGTCGAACTGACCACTCAACACCACATACCCCCACTGCCACCGCGTGTCACCAGCAATACCCCCTGGCCCTGTGCGGAGATGCTGATTCGCAAGCTGTACACATCAGGTCTCAGGAGCCTGGCTTCAGCAAATGTCCCATCAGCTGACATGACACAGGCTTGGGGACCATGCTACAGTCAGGAGAAACACCAGGAGCCCTATTTTAGAGAAAGCCAGAGAGGGGAATGGTCTGGGCCTGGAGCTGGGAGGGTGCCTGCTCCCTGCCTATGGCTGGGGTGCGTCACACTGCACTGGCTTGCCCAGGATTTAGCAGGGTGTACGTGCCAGAAAGGCCCCACAGGGCAACGGAAGAGAAGCAGGGCAGGTGAGGGGATGGGAGTCAAGCAGGGAGGGAGGGAGCTCTGGAGTCTCCGACGAGCCTGGTCTTGCCTGTCTAGGCCCCTGCCTACAGGCCTCATGGGGTGGTGGAGCTGTAGAAAGGTCCCAGCTCTGCTATTAGCTGCCCCCTAACACAGGCTGCCCACCACCCACCTGGAGCCCCAGCAGAGGGTTTGGGAAGGGAGGATGTGGTTATGCCTGCGCTTTCAGGCATGGGGTTGAGGAGGCAGTGCAAAAGACTGGGAGTGGGGACAGGTTAGCTTCACACAGGACAACAGGGACACGGCTCCCCCAAAAGTCAGAGGCCAGGATGGGGGCGGGGCAGGTGTTTCCTCCCTGGGGGAGGGGAGGGGCAAGTAGACCCCCCACCTCTGCAGCAGCTTCAGACTGAACTGTACTTGCACACACCACATCTCCACCAGCTCCCAGGAGATGCAGGGTCAGACCCAGGTGAGACCAGGGCCACACCCTCTTGTGGCCCAGCCCTAGTCCCTCTGCTGTGCCCATCACTCTGGGAGCACAGCTTGCAAGTGTGAGCCATCTCCTCCCTCCACTTCGTCTCCACAGGGGATGGCCAATGTCCCAGGAGCCTCTGCCCCTGGACAGGAAAGCTGCTGCAGGGCCAAGGGGCAGCACAATGACCTCAGGTTGCAGGAATTTTTCTGTAAAGGGTAATAAAATTCAAGCTAGAGCCTGCAAGCAGAGGCTGGCACT